CTGATATGAAAGGGGGGATTCTCATCTGAAAGGGGAGGCTCTTATGTGAAGGGGCTCCAAATGTGAAGGAGGGACTTTGATGTGAAGAGGTAACTCCTTTTTGTGTGTTTTTGTGTAGGGTCCCCCCTTTAAGCCCATACCAGACCCCTATCTCAGATAGGGGTCCAGTATGGATTTTCTAGGCCCATGCATCTTTTTTTACATTTACGCTTTTTACATTTTAGACTGGGGTGCCTCAAGATTTTGCATTTTTATTAATTGTGCCGTGACAGATAAAAGCTGGTTTACACTTTCATTTAGGCTGGATAGTATAGCTCTCAATATACGTCTGGTGCTGCAATATGAGGGCCGCTGCTCTGATATATAGAAGCCACACTGTCCTTTATCTGCCCCTCCTTTCCCCTTGTACATTTACAGTACACCAAGTGTTCTGTGAATGGGCAAGGGGTGAGAGGGCCAAGCAAACCACACTGTGGCTTCCATGTATGAATGCCACAGCTCTCATAGTTGCAACAGGTTGGAAGTATAGTGAGAGCTATACTATCCAGCATCAATGAATGAGCACTGTGGTAAAGCATACAGTACTTCATGCTTTACTGCAGTGCACAAAATTAATGGCTGTGGTAACACAGCACACCTCAACACAAGATAAAGTGCATTACAGAACATGCATTACTGCAGCACAACATAGTGTAAAGAGTTCCTTATAATAGAGTAAGCAAACTCTAATGGATCAGCACCATGTAAAATACTTTGTTTTAATCCTTTGTTGCTTTTTTGCTGCTGCTTCTTGTCCACATGCAAACACTCCAGCTGCATGGCATTTGTAGCTTTCACTTTCAGTAAGTTTTTGTTACATTTTTATAATCAAAAGGAACAAAGATAACTACCCACAAAGGGGTCCAAAACAAAAAAAAGCACAACTCACAGAACAGTAGCCCATATAAAAACAAAGTTAGTACACAATACACCAGTCCATAAACAGCATTTGTAGCTTCCATGATGGTGACACGCAACGGAGCCATGGGTGTCAACACAGGAGCACAACTAGGAGACAGGGACAGAGCATCGTCACACTATAACAGGAAGTGCTTTAATATTGGCCTTCATGTCAGGATCACCAGCTATTATTTTAATGAAAGCCCAAGATTAAAAGATCTGAAAATGACTTTGAATTTACATGAGCATGTTAAAGCTTAGGGGATTTTAGTAATTAGGTCTGCATGTACAGTACTTTAAGCACATACAGAGTATAAAAGGAAAAATAAACTTCACATTTCACACTACACGCGTCTGTTGTAAATTGCTCCCACTATTTTGTAATGCCAAGAAACTTTGTGTCAGCTGTGAATCAAAATACCATTTTACAGTTAGATGGGCCATAAGAAAACAGAGCACAAATTAAATTACTTCTAAGAAAAATTGACCAGAGGGAAGGGTGAAAATGTGGAATTCCAGAAATGCTAAGATCTTATAATGACATGTGGTGAACTTGCCTGCTCAGCATTCAAAAAAACATGAAGAAATTTGTTAAAAATACATGTTCTGGCACAATACAGAAATCTAATCACTGGGGCGTTCTTGTTTCCAGTAATATTTTACAGCAACCCACATAATGTGTTAAAATATGGGGTACATCAGGCTCCCATCAGGCAATAGAATTTGTGGTTAGTGTGTACTGTATATTTCTCTTGGAAGAAAGTATGAATACTTATGGGACATTTGCGTTCACTTGTGATATTGTAACAGGATTTCTTAAGGCCCCTGGATATCCTTTGAGCTACTGCCTCCTATGTAGCAGCACCTGGCTTTAAAAGAGAACTTTGGGCTAAAGGTTTAGGTGTAATTGTGCAGCAGGAGTATTGAGATGTAAATATTATTTAGTGTCAGCGAAATGGCACCTGAAGGTCCCAAAGTTTCCTCCGAAACTGAAAGAGCCTTTGACTTCTACAAGGGAAATTTTAATGACACACACAAGTAGACAGGAGAACAGCTGCACTACAACATGGAGGAGGAAGTTGCTCAGCATGGGATCTTTAGAGCTCTGGATCAGTGACATGATGGTAACCCAAAATTTCAGCGTAGCCCTCCTAACTTAACAAAAATGGCAACTGCACTAATCATGTTATAGCTAGGTTTTTTTTAAGTATGATGCAAATGGAAGGACATTGCACAGTACAAAAAAAAAAAAAGAAGCTAGCTTTAAATTGATTGGTGGTGTTGCCATTTCTGTTTAGCTTGCTGCATTTGGCGTGGGGACACACTAGGGTTCTTCAGCTGCCATTGGGCTGTGCTAGCCTTCTAGTGTGTACCTGTGCCTTTAAGGAGGAATGGGCTGCCTCCAGGCATGCCTGCACTCAATTTATCCTTTGCTTTATAGGCTCCAAGATGGAATTTCTCATAGATTAGAGTTAGGACCACACTACACAGAGGGGGGCCTTGACAAGGCAGTGTGGCTTCCACATACTTTGCAAATGCGCAACTAAAACCGCTGTTTTCAACGCAAATTGTTCAATAGTGTAATTTGTTTTTTGCAGGCTAGCTGGTAAGTGTACCGGGATTTTTTGGGGTTAGCCATCCTACCTTACCTGAACTAACTAAAGCTTTAGTCTGGACTTTTTGTTTTTCAGTAAATCTTTCCTGGGAAACACATGGAGTCCACCATTGCCAATACCCTTTTAAAGATGCTAGTTGTCTGGCTAGTACACTGACCAACAGGGTTCAATAAGGTTTGAGTCATTGACCTGGAACAAGATAGCATATCTGTTGGGGAAAACAAAGACATTCGTATTTGCATCCTTGTCCCATGCAAGAGGTTAAACATGGCAGACAGAAAACTAACATTGGCAGAATAAGAAGTAGCAATGACACCTTTCTTATCTCTCTCAGAAAAGGTTTCATTTGATATGTGTTGACCACAGTCCATAATTATACACGTGCTGAGAGATCATTTGTCCCTGAAAAGGAGTAGACGGAGATCAGAGGACTATCAAATAAAAATATACAACCTAGGTAACAAACTGTTCTTTGCCTATGATGCCATAAAGCTATCTACCATTGTTTATGCCCTACAAACCTTATGGTGGACTAAGTGGCAGTTGAATGACTTCTACAGAGTATTTTAGGTAAAATTAAGAGAATTACACAAATTTCTAAATGTCTCCCATGGGATCTCATGGGATCAAGCTAAGTGAATGAGTAATGCTAATTTTCATTAGTAAACCTTATCTGCCAACACCCACTTTCAGATAATAAAACTAAAACTGCAGCCCTAGTGAATGTGATTTCTGTTTGGGAAAAATCGTACATATTTTTTGTAATGTGCATTTGCTAGAAAAAGTTTTATCCGAAAATCTTTCTTTTGTAGTCGCGAACATTAATTCTTTTAAACAACTATTTATGTTATAGGAATGTATGAAAGAACAATACAAACAAAGGTTTCTGTATAATAGATGCAAGATTGGATATAAAAGTACATTCTAGTATATTTTAATATATGTGTATAACAGTTTAATTACAGTGCTCCTGTTAAAATTATAAAACCTACGTGAAATAAATCAAAATCAGAAAATCCTGCTGTATGTATAATGCCAAGAAAAATATAGAATAGTCAAACAAACAAAATAGTGATCAGCATGTGCTCCTGTGTTCAATATTATCAAGATAGAAATCCAGCCAATATAATTCATATAATTGTGCAAGTATAGCCTATAAGATATAAACGAATGCTAATATCTGTCTGTGATAATTAAATACAGGTCATAATATTGTGCAGATGTCCAACTGTGGTAACAGGTAGCAACCAAGGATCGATGTGCAAAACTCCAGTAATCTCCCAGGTGTCATAAGATGTGCAAAACAACTTCAGTAAACTCACCGTAACAAGTTGACCTTAAATCAAAAAGGTCAGAAAGCACTTTTCCCAACTTATGGCATGAAAACTCCACTCCTCCACCTATGGATCCTTAAATTTCTCTTGAATATTCCACATTAATGCAGTTAAAGGAGAAAAGAAGGAATCTCCATAGTGACCAATTTTGAGGAAGTGATGTAATGCACAGGGCAGAGTCAGTGATGTTTTCATTTTTTGGCTGCACAATCCTAGCTCCCAGAGAGACCAGGAGAGAAGGAGGAAATCAAACACATCAGCTAGTGCTAGCAATAGAACTGGAAATTGTGAGTGTGTTTTTTAATTGTTTTAATTATTAAACTGAATGGTTGTACACTATGGAGAAAATCAAACAAAAGTTCAAAAAAGCATGTATGGCCAGCTTTAGTTGCAAAACATACAATCACTCATCAATTAGGTAACATAGTTATTCAAGAATTCACAAAACTGTGAAAATTAGATACTTCACTCAGTTCCTGCACTTTTATTTTATGAACAGCACAGTGCTGTGTCTACATGCTTAGCAAGAACTGTCTTGTATATAGACTTACACTTTGCTTTCCCCAAGAGGAAGGTCAAACTATTATCTAATACACTGTTCAAAATGACTTACAATAATCTTTGCAATGACATGGAACAAAATATGAAAAACGTTGTGCAATAAAAAAACGTGAGCTCATAAATATACCATAAAAATGTACATGTAATCTCCTATTCCACATGACTAAGAATACATGTGCCTGACAACCTCTAATGATTTGCAAATTGGCAAATTATGTTTATCCCAAACCAACTCCTAGTTTTCAATAACCAAATAGTTAATTATTAATAAAATAGAGCATAAGATCAATGATGTAGAAAAACCTATATTAACCAGATTAACTATAGATCAGAATTTTGTTTTAGTATTCTCAATTATGTAAAGTTGTTTTAAAGTCTTTTTTGGCCATATCTTCTATAAATTACCCTGCCTTACTTTGAAAGCAGCCAGGAAATCCAGCCTTCATGTGTGGGCACCTGATTGATTGTTCAACATGCTGTTCACCATTGTCTTTTGTGCTTTGTACTATAATAAAGACATCAGTATTTCTAGTTCTTTTACTTTTATTACCTGAGTCTGGAGTTTTTGAATGTGTCCAGGTATTCTGGGTAGCTCCATACTATTTTGTCTCCCTTACATCTCAGCTCCATGCTCTGCCCTGCAGACATAGTGAGCATAGGTGGGGGTTTCTGGAAACGGCCTTTGTCCATGACTTGGGTCATGATGGATTGCACTTTGGTGATGGGCTCTGTGGATTCCTTTAATTTGGTAACTTTTGGTTTCAGTTTCTTTATTCCTGGTTTAATCTTATTCTCTGCTGGTTCTTTTGGCCTTTTACCTTTAGCTGCAGGTTGACCAAAAGCTACAAATACAAGTAGAGAAAAAAACTTGAATTACTATGATAAAATATAATAAAAACACATTTATTGTATATTATGTAAACAGGTGACACAGAGCAATCGTACATGAAAACACAGGTGACGGACCAAAGCATTGGTTGCTCTGCCTTGGCCAAGTTACTGAAAGCTGATTTCTCAGGGGAAAATGTGCATTTATTGCATAGATTTACTGCATATTGTTTTGTTTTTAGTTTTTTTCCCTGAGACACACTTTAAGAAACAACCCAGATATATCATGCAAACTAGAATCAGGCTCTGGGCAAATCTGCAATCACAAATGTGAAATATGAAAATTATTTTATTTAATTCTTACAATTATTATGTTTTCTAAGGTTCCTGCAATCAATCGTATGGCATGTACCAAACAACAACTATTGATATGAATGCAACCACTGTTACCAAACAGAAAGTAATAACTATGTATGGGTCCCTGCTAAATGAAAGCCTCTAGTGATGTTGTGACTGTCCCTTCCAGCATATTCATCTAAACTCCAGAACTGCAAGGGTACTAATTTGCATATACTCCAGTTATAGGGGGTCTGTGACCCCAGGCTATAACTTGCTGCTCACTTATTTCACAGCTCCAATTCTGTCAGGGAAACTTTCTTCATGAGGGTCCTCTGTAATTGTAGTAGCTATAGGTCACTGTTTTTGGGGACACTGCAGTACCGGGGCCCAGAGAACGCAGAAGGCCCAAGGTCAGGCGGCTATTTGCAGGATACTGACAACTCCACGGCTCCATACTAATGACAGTCTTTGTTCAGAGCCTGCCAACATCTTCTGTCATCAGCCATAGGGTTGTTGTCTTCACAGGAAGCATGGGAGACCAGTTCAGCATACCTGGCTGCAGAAAAGTTTACCTTAACTTTCCATATTAGCAATGTATTATATATTTATATATAACATCATCTTGTGGAGTCATCTCGTGGCCCAACGAAGTACTGATGGGGTGGTCATAATAATCTGGCCACTCAGTGTATGTGTGTGGTATATGGTATGGAAGTGTCACTATGTCACCCTGAAAAAGGGACCCTGCTTGGCCCCGAAACATTGACGTTTTATGACAGTGTGACAACGACTTCATAAATTGAACAAGGATTTATGATACTACTTCATGTGTGCTGTTGATTATCTAATCTTCACCTTGGAGTTCCTAATGGTGCCATCCGTGTTATCACTATGAGCACCACCATCTTGCAAGTTCACAAAGCTGTATGGAGTGCAGGTGACTTATATATTCAAAATGGCCAATCTAGACTTCAATGCAGAGTTTCAGCAAAGCTTGTCCCGACATGTGGGAAAGATAGGATTCACCCACTCACATTTCCCTAGTCCCAAGGCAAAGGCTTTGCCTTATTTAATCATAATCATATATGACAGTTAGCGTTGACACCGGTGCATTGCTAATAATCAACATATATTGTAGAAACAGTGATTGGACAGTACTACCACCATAAAAGACCGAGCCTAACAAAATAAAAAAATGTGCATGAGAACAAGAATAATAAGTAGGAAAGTAACTTTTAAATTCTTAAAAATTAATGTGTGTAATATATTTTCTAGGTATCACAGCTTGTGTATGATTAATTCAGTACTTATGGTCTGAACCATGTGTGTTACTTAGGTTCATGCTCATTAAATGCCTGGCAAGGCACATACCAGAAACAGCAGAAAGTAGGAAACACGTTTACTGTAAAGGGAACCCTTGAAGTTTTCCTTCATCGCTGTACTCCCAAGTATTTCTTATGAACAGATAGAACAAATGAAGCATTGCTAATCCTGTATTAGTCAGATCTGCTGCATGCTCCATCATTTTAATAGACATATATTCCAATAATGCCTTTACTATTGCTACTTACTCAAGTAGATCCTCTAATATCTGCTTTCAACTCTTACAATGTCTTTTCCTACCCTTTAGTGCCTCACTGACTTTATCTTAGCATAGCATATGAAAACACATGTCAACCAAACATTTTTTTCAATTTAGGATAGCCTAGGATAGAGTCTCTATTGAGTTCCTACTGTTGTCAGTGTCATCATTGGGGCGATTGTCCTTCAAGTGGACCTTTATGCCCTTTCACTAAACAATCACATCAGCACACAGCTCTGTATGCTGATATGAAATCATCTTACATTTATTAGTGAAGCAAACATTTTGTACTTTTAATTACAATTACTGTTTTTTCACTTCCTGTTTGAGCGAGGCACTAGTGATGTACCCCTGGACTCACAGATGCATCCTGGGAAGGCTACATCACCAATGTCTTCCTAGGAAATCTCATCTGTAAACGGCAAAATCTTGTAGGATCTCAGGGGGAAAGGCATGTTTTCCCTTCTGAGATAATGTGCACTGTCACATGTTTAAGGAGGCAGACCCAGAGTTCCAGGAAGTAAAGTAAGATGGATCACTTGCCCTTAGTGAAAATGGCCACCTGAAAAGGGGGATTGGGGAGGAAAAGAAAAATACAATATGCAAAGAATTAAAAGCCTGCAATTGCCATTAAAAACATTTCTAAAGGTGCCTTTTTAAGATGAGTAAAGTTCCTCTTTAACTTCCTGTCCCGATTACACAACTTCAGGCTTTATACACATAGGCATCAAAAGGGAACACTTGGCATGCTTTCCAGATGTAGAAAAGGTTATTGAGCCAAATGGTACAATAGACAAGGGTGCTCAGTTTCCCTATGTTCCACCATTGAAGCTTTTGTCAGGGATTTACACTGGAGTTGGTGTTTATTCACACAAATAGCCAAAAACATTTATAGAATTCTCCCTCCCATGTTTGCCTGTTCCTAGGGTGAATATTTTGCATGGCAAGTTTGTACCCACTCATATATCTATTTAGACTTCTACGTAGGTGCCAGTGTTTGATACTCCAGCGTGGGAGAGGATATGCTTGGATTTTGCCAGATTACATTTGGAATATCTCATAACCTTGCTGCAAACATCACGATGGTGACAGATAATAGACCAAGTATAGAAAACACCTAATCTAGTGTGAATATACTGTGTTAAATACCTTGTCAATAATATACAAAAGAACCTGCAATGTGGATTTATCTGAAGTTCGCCCTTTTCCCCACATATGTTGGCATTTCAAAATGTATTTACACAAGCTGTTTGGAATTAGGCAGCTCCTAAATATGTGAGAAGATCAGTAAAACGTTTACTTGGCATGCTAGACCTGCCATCAGAGGCATAACTGGAAACCTCAGGGCCCCGGTGCAAGAAACCATTAAAAAAAAAACATGAATTTGACAACTTTTTTTTTGTATTAAATAAATAGTATGTATGTTATAACTTTCAGGGCTAGTTCACACCAGCTCCAGTGCGTTCCGGCCCGATTTGGTGCTGGAACACACTAGATCGCATCCCGGCTGGCTCACTGCGTTCTGGGGTGGGAGGGGGCATGGCGGTGCATTAAAGTCAATGGCACCGCAGACGCGCCTCCCGGCCGCAGTGCGATCGCCTGCACCGGAACGCATGGCAAATCAATGCCTGCAGTTCTGGTGCGCTCAGAAAAAATAGTGCAAGCACATGGAGTTCCCTGACTGGCCACCCCCCCCCCCGCCCCCCCACTACAGCGTCTTCACCATCTTTCTGTCTAAACTGTGGTCCGCAAGTGTCAAAAACACATGAGGCAGCTGCTGGTGGCGGGCCCTCTTCTTTTTCTCTAGGCTCCCCCCAACTAGCCAAACACCGAGGCTCGGTC